AGCATTGGCACCAATTGCCGATAAAAACAGTATAAAACAGTACAATACAAATAAATTCATAAAATCATGAGGTGCTATTAATTATACAGTTAATTGCTTGCGGTGGCATACTAGAGATGTCTACAACTGCTGAATTCTGGCTCAGTGTCTTCCTGAGGCACTCGATGGAATGAGCCAGATGTTAAAGCTGAGGGCCGGGCTCGTTGATGGTATAGTGGGGGCGGCTCCTAATTGAGGGCCTGGTGGAAGAACTCTGTCTTGCAGGCCCTGCGGAACTGTAAGAGATCCCACAGGGCTCTGATCTCCGGGAGCCCATTCCACCAGTAAGGAGCCGCCACTGAAAAGGCCCTGGCCCTCGTCGTAGTGAGCCTGGCATCCTTGGGGCCTGGGAGGGTCAACCGGTTCTGTGACCCCAACCGCAGTGCTCTCTGGGGTATACATGGGGAAAGGCAGTCCCTCAGGTATGTCGGACCCTGGCCATAGAGGGCTTTAATGGTAAATACCAGCACCTTGAAGCGAATTCAGTATGCTATTCAGTATGCTATTGGCAGCCAATGCAGGGCCTTCAGCACAGGCTGGATGTGCTCCCATCTAGGTAAGCCCATCAACAGCCTGGCCACGGCATTCTGCACTAGCTGCAGCTTCCGAATTTGCGACAAGGGCAGCCCCATGTAGAGAGTGTTACAGTAATCTAGTCTCGAGGTGACCGTCGCATGGATCACTGTGGCCAGGTCGTTGCGGTCGAGGAAGGGAATCAACTGCCTAATCAGCCGAAATTGGTAAAAGGCCAACTTAGCAGTGGCTGCTACTTGGGCCTCCATTGTTAAGGAGGAATCCAGGAGCACTCCCAAGCGCCTAACCTCCAGCACTGGCACCAGTAGTGCCCCATCAAAGGTCGGGAGTGGGGTCCCCACCCGCGGACCGCCCTGGCCCACACATAGGACCTCCGTCTTCACCGGATTCAGTTTCAGCCGACTCAGGCTGAGCCAACCAGCCACAGCCTGTATCGCCCGGTCCAGATCTTCAGGACTGGAGTTTGCCCGGCTGCCCAGCATCAGATAGAGCTGGGTGTCATCAGCGTACTGGTGACATCCCAGCCCATAGCTCTGGGCTATCTGGGCAAGGTGGCGTATATAGATGTTAAATAGCATCAGGGAGAGCACTGCCCCTTGAGGCACTCTGCACTCCAGTGGGTGCCTCCTGGACTGCTGCTCCCCTAGTGCCACCCTTTGTCCCCAACCTTGGAGAAAGGAAGCAAGCCATTGCAAGGCAAGCCCCTGGATTCCCAAGTCGGTGAATACTTATCTCTGAGACAGATTGGCATTGGCTTTATTTTTTTAATGTAGTTTGGTGAAGAATTTAGAAGGTTTAGCCTCTTTGGTCTCTAGGGGTCTTCTGATATTCCAATTACATACAGAGTTATTCAGATATTTAATAGGCCATGACTGTGAAAGGAAGTAAGGGAGCACTTGTATAGAAAGACATAGGAAGACTGCAGCCCTTGAACCTTGTGTTGAGTTTTTATATATTTCCTCCACCAGCTTTGATGGAGATGATTTTGATGATGTGGAGGAAGATGAAGGGCTAGATGATCTGGAAAATGCAGAGGAGGTAAGTCACTTCAACCTATAGCAATCTTGCCCAATCGTATTGATTGTGTATAGAGCCCCAAGGTATTTCTAGATAGATTGTTCTTTCCTCGTTTGCATATGTGTTTGCTATGGAATGTGTGCCAGTCCAGGAGCTAAAGAGCAAGAATGGAAGGTGTGTCCATCTCTGTATAATTCATAACTCCAACTCCTACCTTCATTGTTATCTTCTAATAGTATTTTTGGCTCAGGTATAAGTGATTTATTAAAGGGAACATGCAGTCCCCTAGCTTGTTGCTTCCTAGACTAATTATCCAAGATAGAAAGAAATTTAAGAAGCTTAAGACAAATTGAAACAGTCAAATATAAGATACAGGTGGGAGATACCACAAGGATTGAGCTTCAGTTTTCAAAGCCAAAGACATCTGATCAAGACAACAGAGCAAATGCTCAGATTTTTGCATGATAACGATAAAGACTTTGGAGATAAATAATTGGAGATCATGATGGATTACAAATTAATATCGTGGAATGTAAATGGACTTAATTCACCCAACTTCTTTTTGAATGACAAAAGTTGGCAGGCTCATATATTAGATGAATATATTTTTAATTCAAATCCTGTATATACTTCAAGTTAATATTCAAGCAGCTCTAATTACTAGTACTTATAACTTGGCATATACGACCCTGTGGATGTGCTTACAGTTCCTTACATTTCTTCTGCAGGAGGGTCAGGAAAATGTAGAAATCCTGCCATCTGGAGAGCGGCAGCAGGCAAACCAGAAGCGGATCACCACACCCTATATGACCAAATATGAGCGGGCCAGAGTTCTTGGCACCCGTGCCCTCCAGATAGCGTAAGTCAGAGGTGTCGAACTCATTTGTTATGATGGCTGGATCTGACATAAATATCACTTTGTAGGGCCAGGCCATGTGTGCCATAAAATATACTGCCAGGTACAGGAGATATAAAAATTATAAAGGACACAGGCAAACCCAATTAACAATACTGTTTTTTATTCAAAATACAAACATGCTTGAAACATTAACACTCTTACAATATTTCCTTACAGTATCTCCCTAATGCCCACCCTCCCACTTCCACCACCTGTTACACATTAGCACTGGAACAATATACAGGGACATAATGCACAGCCTCTGTCATCTGGCAATAAAGGTAATGGGCAGTTGCTTCTGGGCCGGATAAGAGCCCTGGACAGGCCGCTTCCAGCCCACGAGCTGTTTGTTTGACACCTCTGGCATAAGTAGCTTTGGGGCTATGGGCTAAATAGGAGACAATGAGTCAGTGGACATCTATAGAAGTTCTCTTCTGTATTTGAATTTCTATTTCTTTCCATTTGACACTGCCCCAGTTCTGATCTCTCCCCCCGCTCCATAAATTTGGTGTTCCTACCAGTGGCAAACCTCTAAAATGAAATTTGGAGAAGGTTGGGGTGTTTACTGTGTCTAGAAAGCTCGGGTATCACAACATAACCCTTTTTTTATTTTTCATATGTGCGTATGTGTGTGCACCTGGAAGTCATGGCGACCTCTGGTGACTGACCCCTACTGGGAGCCTGGAGGCTATTCAGAGAGGTGGCTGAATAAAGCTTGTCCCCCCCCCACACACACCTCTGGTATTTCAACTTGGCAGAGTTGACCCTGCTTAGCTTCCGAGATCAGGCTTGTCTGGACTATCCACAACATTACTCTCCATGATGGCTTCTATGTATCTATTTAGTAATCTACTTGTTTCATGAATACTCCACCTTTCTCCCCAATGGGGGACCCAAGGTAACTTATCACTCTCCTCTCTTAATCTCACAACAAACCTGTGAGGTAGGTTAGGCTGGGTGTGTGTGACTGACCCAAGGTCACCCAGCCAGCTTCCATGGTGGAGTGAAGAAGAAATCATCATCTTCAGCAGATCAGGCAGCTGGCTCCCTACCTCTCCCCCTGGGACTTGGCTACAGTAACCCACGTGATGGTCACTTCCAGGCTTGATTACTGTAACTCACTCCAGAAACTCCAGCTGGTGCAAAATGCAGTGGCACACCTGGTGACTGTGACATCTGTGCAGGTCCGCATTCGGCCTGTGCTCCACCAATTGCACTGGCTACCAATTGAGTACTGGATCCATTTCAAGGTGCTGGTGCTGACCTTTAAAGCCTTATGTGGCCTGGAGCCGACATATCTACGGGACCGCCTCTCCCCATATGTGCCCTGAAGAGCCTTGCGCTCTGCGGATAGTCATCTGCTGGTTTCTCTGGCCTGAAAGATGCCCTCCTAGCCTCAACCATGGCCGGGGCCCCAGCCTGGTGGAACATTCTTCTGATCGAGATCAGGGCCCTGTGAGACCTGTTACAGTTTTGCAGGGCATGCAGAACAGAGCTTTCCCGCCAGGCCTTTGGCTGAGGCAGCGGGCACCTACCCCCTGGTCTCCCTGTTGCTGCTGTGTGAGATCATGATGGCTCTGCGCCGGACCACCCATTCTGGCTGTAGGAACTAAAACTAATACTGCACTGCCCACTTTAAATGTTCAAAATTGGTTTTATTATATTGTTTTAATATTGTTATTTATTATTTCTTGACCTGTTTTAAGATTGTGTTGTGTTTGTTGTTGTGAGCCACCCTGAGGCCACTGGTGGGAAGGGCGGGATATAGATCAAAATAATAAATAAATAGGTATCTTTTCATTCTAGCACAATGTTGTGAGCTAGGACAAGTTCTTCTTCGGTAGTATTTGTGCCATGTCTCTCAGGTGGTACTTGTTGCTGCATCACATGCTTTGCTCTGAGTAGAAAGTATAGTCCTGCAGGAGCCTCCGGTGGTTAGGGCCACGTAGCATGCTTACTGTTTTTTTTGCTGAGGATATGCTTTTAGCTTCTCACTCAACCAACTACAGAGAAATAGCTAACATTAGAGGGGTGTACAGCACACATCTTTTTAGTGATGGTAGAATGCAGGTAAGTCTAATAACAAAATCCAGTGTCTCTCTCAACACTGTGATTGTGCAAGCCTTCATAAATGTTAAAATGAAACTGTCTAGGTGTTTGGTTCTGTTGGTTTGAGATTCTTTTGTCCTCAGAATAAATGAAAATTGTGGTCCCAAGTTTCTAAATATTTGTCCTTTTCCTCTCATCAGTATGTTGACATTACTTATACACAGTGTTTTGGGTTTTCTGCTTGATAGTTGAGGTACCTGATATCTTTTAGAGAATGGGGGCTTTCCCTATTAAATTTTGAGCACACTGAAGTGGAAAGCCTTGCCTCTTTCTGCTCAAGATAAGGCACTGCAAAGCATTGGTTAGTGTTTGTGTAGAGAGATGTCATTGCTCTGTGCTTAGAGATACTTTCTGCAATACTCTTGTAACCTCTTGAGCCTAAACAGTATCTTACCAAAGTGTTAAAATGGCAAAAATTAAACACAATTACACAGAATATGCGTGGACTGCATCCCACCCTTGCATCTACAAGAATCCTTAAAAGCAGAGTTGTGTTGGTGATGCACGTAAGACTTTGTTTGCTGGCATCTCTCAAAATAATGGGTATGTCTGACTAGTATGATACATGCCTTTTTAACATGCCACGGCTTATCCTCATTTATGTAATGATTCTGGAATCTTTCTTCCCCCAGCATGTGTGCTCCAGTGATGGTAGAACTTGAAGGAGAAATGGATCCTTTGCTGATTGCAATGAAAGAGCTGAAGTAAGTGTGTGTGTGGTGGGGGGAGGTTTCTAGCAGTATGCGTATTTGATTTATTCTAGAACACATCCCCCCCCCCCTCAGCTGGAATGAAACAGCCGTTGAAGTGGTGCACGTTGCCTTAAGCCAACAAGATTTTATACTGTAACTGCCTGCATGTACTGTAAAAATAATATTAAGCTTCTGTAACTCCATAGAAAGTCCACATGTAGGTTTTTAATAGCTTGTTTTTGTGATGACCCGCTGCTGTGATGGTTCTAAAGTTTTTTCAGAAAGTTGAACTGTATAGACATTTCCTTTTTCAGTATGTTGAACTCTTTCTAGCTATATTAGTACTTGAATTCTAAGCTGAAAGTATTCAGTGGCTAGCAATGTTTTCTTTTAAAACAAAAATCAGCAGCACCGTCATTAGCAAGAAGGTTGTAATAGAAGCTATGGCAGAGAAAGTGCAAATGGCTTGCACCCCTCCTTTCCCCCACTTCTCCTGGCATCTGTGATTCATATATTCTGTTTCACGTATTACAGCAAAATGGCAAGAGGGAGGCACAAGTCAATCATCTTTCTTTTCTCATTAGCGTCAAACACGTTTTTTATTAATCAGTTAACAGCCTGCCTTTTTCTATAACATGGGTACAAAATCTGGTTCTTTCGTATAATACCCTTGTGCATCCATGTCTGCATAACTTTATGGGAGCAGAAGTTTGTGTGAACAAACATGAAATTATCCATGCTTTAGAGTTCTTTGGAGCTGGGGAAGCTTTCTGATTCGGTGATGCTTTGTGATTTGGGGGCTTGCTACCAGAGATGCTGTTGTTGGATACAGCTTCTGACTATTGTAATGAATTCTTGTGATTTTTAAAAGATTTCTGTGTTTTTTGTTTTCTGTATGTTCAAGATTTGTTAGCCTGATTTTTCTGGACAAATTGCAAGCTGGTTAATTACATTGTTGACCTTAAAAAGTCTTTCTTAGATTAAACTGGATTTAAGTTTCTTTGCTTTCAGTATTGAACCGTTTGCTTTTCCAGTAGCTTTTAACAGCTATTGTGTGCTGCTGGGCGGAGGGGGGGGTGCCATTTCAGTTATTGGTGAAGTGTGCAAGTGCTTTAGGTCCTGCCAGTTGGGGCTATTTGTGACCCCTGACTAGGCTGTTTATTCACTTGTTTCTCCACCTGTTGGTTGTCAGTTTAACTTCTGGTTTGGGATTTGGTACTGTTACCTGTGTCCTGAGCATTTCCTGCTCTGCTTCATGGAGTATTTGGTGCTTTCTGTGAGATTGTGACAGTGTTCATTATAATACTGTCTCAGGAGACACAGAACGCAACTAGGATTCTATACTTCAGTGACAGCTTCAGTGATATGATGGAACTGTCCTTTTTCTATATGTTCCTTTTTCCTCCTTTCAGAGCTCGGAAGATTCCCATAATAATCCGCAGGTACCTGCCAGATGGAAGTTATGAAGACTGGGGAGTGGATGAATTAATCATCACGGATTGACCAGCTTCCTTGCCATATTGCAGCTCCCCTTTCCCACAATTGTTTTATTTTTGTGTAAATAAATACTAAAATCCTTATGCAGTCCTTCCTTCCTTCGTGCAAGTGAGAGGTCTTGGTCTCCTTTCCCCCTTATTTTTAGTGCTGAGATTTTTCATGCAGCTCAGCCTCCCGTGATCTTTTCTCTCTTAGACATCCTTGCCACTTAGTCTGTCGCTGGCTTACAAAGCAAAATGGGGTGCCGGCTGCCCTCAAAGCACCACATCTAAAAAAACTTGCAGAGAGAGACAAGAGCAGCTTCTGCAGTATTTGATTTTGCCCAGTGCATTATACTGAAGCTATTTTAAAGTGATCCTGCAGCTGCCAGGCTTCCAGATGTCCTCCACAGCAATTGAGAGACCCTTTCCCCTCCCAACCTCTACACCCTTTTCTAGGGGCCTGTGGTAGAGGAGACATTTCTGTTGCCTGTCAGCAGACAGACATGCCTTTGTGCTTGGGAGCGAGTTGCCTTGGAAACCCCAATTTCCCCTCTGATCAGGACTGGCTCTGTGGGCTTCTCAGGAGTATCACAGAGCGACTCTCATCAAATCTCCCATTGTTCCCTGCTCCTGCCCTAGCTCCTTATCAATCAACAGGATCCCCTTACAGTGGCAGTTCTGTAGCAGGAAGCAGAGTTGCCTTGATGAGTCTCTACCTAGTGAGGAATCGGCTTGACACACATAGGTATAGTGTATGCTTTGAATGCGCCTCTTTCTAACTAAAGTTACAGTTGTAGATGTGCCATAGACATCCTTCTCATTGTGAAGCCCTACATGCATCCCTGAAATAGTGGGAAGAGAGGTTCTTAAACTTTGCTGTAGTGACTCTCCCTATATCAAGAAAAAGCTGTTTGGGGTGTTTCAAAGGAATAGGTCAAACAAAAGGATATATTTGCTCTTGGATAACAGAAACAAGCAGCCATTTGGATTGGATCTTCAGAACGCCTTATATGGAAGTAGATGCCATGATTGACAGGCTTATCTTTTTGATAGACTTAAAATGAGCATTTGTTGCCTTGTCTTTTTTAATAGTTTTGAATCTCTTTCAACTTGTGTTAAAAGCTGAAAGCAATCTCCAATAAAATTAGAAACCACAATCATAAAACTAATTAAACATTTAAAACCTTTTCACTCCAAATGTAAAAGGCATAGATTACATTAGCAGAATCTTGGTTTCAGATGGTGGATCACAGGTGGATCACCAACCAAAGTTGGTAGGAAGCACCCTTAGTGATTACTACTAATGAAGAATCTAGTAGGAAAGCAGGGTCAAGAAGGATGTATAAATAACTTTTCAAGTAGAACACCAACCTGTTGAGAACAGGTAATGCTCCCGCTCCCACATCCCTTGATTTTCCAACTATCAAAACATTTGACTTCTCAGGATTCGGCCCGGTTTCCTGGCCCTCATCCACCCCATAAGAGTAGCCAGTAGTTTAGGGAGACAAATGCCATTCCTGAATTTAGTGTAAGGAAGTAATAGAGTTGAGTGTTGTTTTTTCTTATGGCTAACTCCACACTCCAGAACTTTGTATGATCTTTCCCCACGGCTGACTGTAGGTATTAAAAAACATAGGGAGCAAGGTTAAAGCTTGTAGAAGCACGGAGAAAGTCTCATCACGTACAGTAGGAGCTTCCAAGTGCTGCCCTATGCTGCTAGTAGAGGGAAATGGAACCATCACAGAACTTTGCCTTTTGAGATTTTTCAACCTAGGCAGAAGCATTTGCTTGTTGTACGTTGTACCCACTAATGATTTCTTCCTGTGTGCACATGCAGAGATGGGAACAGTGATTTGTCAAAAGGGAGTGGTTTCAGAGGCAGTCTTTATAAATTACAGTGAAGGGATTTGATAGCCAGCTGTCAGCATGTGCAGGCATTAAAACCACAAGGAATGTGTTAGGTGTTCAGAGGAGCCCTGCCAATAAATGGTTAATCTTCAGAGTCATAGCTCACCAGCCTTCTTGCATGCACCCCCACCCCCCTCCTCTCTCTAGCGTTTAATCACGTTGGCGTGATGAAATTTCAGTAATGAAATGTGCCTTTGTGCGATCATTTTGGCATTGGCAGTGGAGCGCGGGAGTCGTTTTCTTGGTCCTCTAAAAAAATAGCCTCTTTGTTTTAATGTTCCCCCCTTCCTCTCAGCCCAAGCTTTGCATCTATATCAGATACAATTAAAGGGATAGCAAAGGACTCTAAGGCCAGCTCCCACTAGACTGCAGAGAGAATGTGCAGGCCTTTTGTGTCCAATGTGGAAGCTGGTGGGTGCCGAATCCTGCTTTTGCTATGAAGACAGAAGCATAGTTGTTGGCACTCACTGCTGCCAGCCAGTGACTTAAGAGAGCACACCGCCACTCCCTTAACCATTTTTCCCCTTGGGGAAGTGTACTGGACACTTGAATTAGGCTGGAAGGAACTTTTTTGGCTTGCTTTGTTTTGTTCCTCACGGCAGGGTTCCTGCGCCCTCTAAAAGCAGCAGTCTCCCATTTGGCACTTTGCCGTGTATTCCGCTCTCCCAGATCTCAGCTACCCTCCTTATATTTACAGCAAAAGCAGGTTTGGAATCTCTGCTCTTGCTTTTGCTTACATATTCAGGGAAGTAAAGGACAAAGCCAATGGCAGCAATGATGGGATTAAGCCAGGTCCCATTTGCCAGGTTGAATGGATGGATCCTACTACAAAGTTTTACTTCCCAGGAAAAGTTCCTCACAGCAAGGGTGCTCCTTCCATTTCCTGACAAATCCCTCCATTGTCCTGTTGCTTCCCTTGCCCTCCAGTGTACATCTGCGGCGATGTGGATGGTGAATGGAGACTGGGTGGTGGTGGAAGAAAGTGCTGGCATGTCGCAGCCAGCTTATGGTGACCCCGAAGAGTTTTCAAAGCAAGAGTCGTTCAAAGGTGGCTTGCCATTGCCTGCCTCTGTGTAGCAACCCTGGAATTCCTTGGTGGTCTCCCATCTAAATACTAACCAAGGCTGACCCTGCTTAGCTTCTGAGATCTGATTAGTCTGGGCCATTTTTTTGTCAGGACAAGAGATTGGCTACTAATTCTCACTTGATTGAAAGTATTCTGGTGCAGTTATGAAGATGTGTCCCCCCCCCCATTTCTGCATTCAGCTGAACATTTAAAGCATTTTAACTAACATGACCCTGCTCTATACAACTGGAGCCAAAGGTTTCCATTCAAGCCAGTAGGGATAAGATCAGGCCAAATGCATAACCCACACACCCACTGCATTCTTTGCATAGGCCCACATACAGAATTACCAAATAGTGTGTTCTGCTTTGTAAAACGTGGCATTTACTAAGAGTGGTCACTGGCTACGTATCCCTTTTTCTTACCTTGCTGCTTCTTGGTTGTGGATGAACATATTTGTAAATGAATCTGTTGTCTGATCATCTTGAAAGGTTTGTTGAACAACCCCTGTATCCGATGGCATGGTGGGGTTTTCTGAGCCCATGAAAATGTTGTCATTAGATCCTTCTGACGGCTATGCAGTATGAAAAAGCAGGCATCAATTGTCTTCGAGGACAGAATAGAAGTTTGAAATGAGAATTGTGGTTGAGAATGGTAGGTTTTAGGGCATGGAGGAAAGAAGTGAGATACTCCTGGTCTAAGCGATCTTTGCAGAGGTGAGAAGGAAATGAAAGACTATCCTAATGTGTTTAATATTCAGCCTTAACTAGGATATGCAACTAAGAAGGCAAAGATCACCTTAAGGAGAGTAAGTCCATCCAAACAGAAAACTGTGAATAAAGAGAACCAAGAGAAATTATCCTTTCTCTGCTTCAATTTAGTGCTAGAATCAGACGCCATCGTGTAAATTGATTGGCAGTGGGTTCACAAAAAAGGCAATATTAATGTAAAGCGTGATTCACTTAACAGTATAAATTGCCATACAAGGGGGTGCCTTTTCAAAAGGATTCTTGCGGCCTATTAATGTTTGTTATATATGACAGGAAAGGTGATTAGAGCACATTTTCTATCAGGAAAGGTTAAAGAGTCTGGGACTTTTGAGTCTGCAAAAAAGATAGCTAAATCTGGGGAGGACATGTTAGGGGTTTCTAAAATAATGTGTGGGGTAGAGACAGCAGAGTGCTTTTCCCCACTCTCTCAAAACACTAGAACACAAGGAGCACTCAATGAAGTGGATAGGGAATAGATTCAGGACAGAAAAAATGTTTCTGTACTATCATGTAAGTCGCCCTGAGCCTGCCTCAGCGGGGAGGGCGGGGTATAAATTGGAAAAATAAATAAATACTCAGCTATTCTTTAAATTGTGGAATTCAATGCCAGAAGATGTAATGATGGCCACAGGCATAGACAGCTTTGAAAGGGGATTAGACAGATTCATGGAGGAGAGGTCCACCAATGGCTACTAGTCATGATGACTAAAAGGAACCTCCACTTTTTCAGAGGCAGGAATCTCTGAATCCCAGTGCTAGGAGGTAGCATCAAGGGAAGGACTTGGCCTCTATGCCCTGTTCATTGGCCCTATTGGCTACTGGTTGACCACTGTGTGCAATAGGATGCTGGATTAGATACGGTGATGATCTGACCCAGTGGAGCTCTTCTTACGTTATGTTCTTATGGTACATCCATATTCAGAGTAAGGTTGCTAATAGCCAGGAGAAAAAATGCCCTGCCCCTTTAACAGAGGCTTAATGGAATGTTATTTACTTCCATGTCATGAAAAGCTTCACATCTTAGCCTTCTAAGAAAGGGCCAGGACATTTTTCTCAGACTTTCTGGCAACCTTTTTCAGAGGCAAATGAACTTCTGCCATAGGCACAGGATGCCCTGCTTGTAAGCTTCAAAGTGGCATTTCATGGGATCAGGGCTGGAATTGGAGACCACAGTCCAGTGAAAGATTGGGCCCAGAGAGCTCCCCATTAGTCTGATTCATTTATAGAATTCCTGTGTTCAGTCAGGGTCCTTTCAACAATGGTCACAGAAGAAATATGTGAGCGATATAAGGCAGTGTGTGGAATAGTTTTGTCCCTTTCAGTCCTTTCTTGGGGGGGTATGAAAGTGAAAGAGCAAAAAAGAACAAACAGAAATTGACATACATAGCTGAAACCTTTTAAGTTTATTATTCCATACATTTGATGCAAAGTTAATTGGTGCTAGGACAACACAGGGTTGTGACGCTGGGGACAGCGAAGGAGGGAATATGCTACTTGCATAAATAAGGGTGCGGAGCAGTTAATAGGTTGCATGCATACAAGGGAAACAGGCATACTACTACATGTTCTTTTCAAGCACCATGGAGAAGAGAGAATCATCCACTGCTGAAAATGGAGGCAAGCGTATATAAAACATAATGTTAGGCAAGTTGGCCTCAGCCGCTCCAGTCCAAAGGGGTGGGGAAGAACAGCCTTCAGTGTGACCCATCCTCATGCATTTGCACACCTTTCTCCAGTGCTTTGTGATTCATCCCTTTGTCTTCTAAGACATAGCTGGCTGTAAAGTGTCATGCCTCTTTGAAGCCCATGGAACCAGCAAGCCTTATCTTCACTCCAGGGAAGACAGGAAAGCTTGGTTTAGCTGGAGCTGTTGCCTCTCGTATGAAAGCTCGAAAGGAAACACGGATTTGTTTGCATTTTAAATGGCCCCATTCAACATCAGATGCAACAACAGTGTTCTTATTGCGGCCATGGTTGAATTTAGCTGCTGTTGATTCTGAATACATGAGCAGGATCATCCCTAACAGTTGGCAGGGTGAGGAAGACCACTCTAGGTAGAAAATCTGGGGGTACCATTGAGAGGACAGTAGAGAGCCAGCTTGGTGTAGTGGTTAAGAGTGGAGGACTCTAATCTGGAGAACTGGGTTTGCTCCACATGAGGCCAGCTGGGTGACCTTGGGTCAGTCCCAGTTCTCTCAGAACTCTCTCAGCCCCACCCACTTCACAGGGTGTCTGGTGTGGGGAAAGGAAGGGAAGGCGATTGTAAGCCACTCTTACTCCTTTGGGTAGTGAAGAGCGGGGTATAAAACCAACTCTTCTTCTTCTACACTGACAATTTTTGTTCATTATATTTTTGCTTTATAGGGAATGCCATTTGGAATTTCAGCCTCAGGCCCCAATATATTTTAGGCTGTTTACACTGCGGCACTATCTGCTTAACACTGTGGTCATACGGATGCTCCCTGGGCATCCCCCCCCCCCATGCTTAAGCAAATTGGAGGATCACACTGACAGTTCTGGTTGCTAAAATCCATCTGCCTTCCCGCACCCTCTTAAATACAAGTGTACACTCTCACTCACTCACACGCTCTCTCTTTCATAATCATGCTAGACCAAAAAAAAAAAAAGCACTGGCTTTGGCAAGGGTATCTTCTGAAGTATTAGGCAGCTAGCCGGGGGAGTTTAGAAGGAAGCCAGGAGGTGTCGGAAACAAACTAGCAATACAAAATGTTCATAACAATAACGTAGGATTCTGTCCCCTTTGCTTTTTATGGTCCAAGGGACCAACCATGTGGTACACACTTTCATGCTGTGATGCAAAGGTGGCCAGAGCATATAATGCAGTTCCTGAGTCCAATGTACTGTCTAGTAAAGTCTTAAGAGAGCCAGGCAGCAGAGAAGTGGTGGGATGGATAAAGGAAGGTGGAATGCAGATGCTAAAAATCAACAGGAAAAGCAAGCATGGTTTGGTCTTCCAATGGGGAACAAGATTCATGCACGTGCAACTCTGAAGCAGGAATGCCCTAGAGCATCTTCCACATCAGCTGCTCCACCCTACTTCTCCTACTGTAACATATCCGCCGGAGTGGCTGACAAGCCACGCTTCACCCACAGTGAGTGGTTAAAGTTATGGCCACTGTTTTCTTTAAAAACCACCAGTCTGATGGTCTGGGAACTTGAGGGAAAGGAAGGGAATTGAGAGGATTATTCTTTTCTTTTTTTAAAAATCCTTGGTCTGCTCAACAAAACTCCACCATGACTAGTTGCTCCATGCCAAGAATTGTCCTCATCTAGAAGGCCTATGGGATCTTGGAAGCCAATCAGGAATTGGGAGAATGGGGGTGGGTAGGGACCTTCCTCTAGCCAGGTGAGCCTTCGGTATCTGCGGTCAAGAGAGACACGCCCGGATATTCAGTGGGTTCTGGTGACTGGATGACACTGAATGGCCTCAGAACTCGGAGGCTCGTCCTCTGGGGCTGATTCTTCGGACCCTTTCCGCTGCTGCTTTGGTCACCGTTCCCCATTCCCTAGGGTCTTGAGAGGGTCGTATACACAGGCTGTTCCCAGTGTGTTGGGCTATGGGACTGTGGCACTGAGGGTGCTGGGTCAGAGATGGCAGTGTACAGGGGACGTTGGGAGGGCCCCATATACGAGAAGGCCGAATAGAGGCCAGAAGCCTGACTGGAGTGGCTATAGTAGGGTCCTGAGGGCTGGTGGTCAGGGTAGTCAAACTGGGGCCTAGATATAGAAGGGAAAGCTGAGCCATAGTGGGGCAGACTGAGTGATGTGTATGCTATCTGGGAAGTGGAGGGCTGATCAGTGTAATGGCCCCCTGGAGCAGAACCCTCTGTTTTCACTTGGGCCTTGGCGTCTACCACTGATGAGGTGGTGGCAGACAAGGAGACTCCGTGCTGTTTGGAGATCCAGGCTGAGTGTCCGCTGGCTGCAGCCAGGGCACTCCCAAGGCCATAACCGGCAGCTGTGGCATAGCCTCCAACATGGCCTGGGTGGGCAGCGTGTCCATTTGGTGGCAGGTACTGGTCAAACTCGTTGACATCAAAGGGCTCCATGTTGGACATCACTTCGTGGCTGATCTCCCCGATATCCACATTGCCGAAGTCGATGTGAGGCTTTCCTCCTTCCCCCAAAGAACGCCCTTCTCTCTTGGAGTCAGCTTTACCCGATTGCAGTTCTGTCTTCGGAGTGGTTGGCGGAGTGGGGGGCCCGTGGCTCTGACCTGTGAGGGGAAATCCGCATGGGAGGAAAACAGAGAAAAAGGTGTCAATTACCATTTCACTTTATATACAGTTTGGGGAAGGAGAGCTACAAATCAGTCTCACTGTAACCCGAATACATTGATACACTCTTCCCCCTTCACCGCTCATGACATAATAGAGTCATGTCTCCATAGAGCATCCAGTGAAAGGGTAAAATGAAAGATGGTAATCAGCGAGAAACCAAGATGGCGGTTGGGTGTAATGCATTCTTTTTAAAAATAATTTGTGTGTGTGTGTGTGTGTGTGTGTGTGTGTGTGTGCTTGCTTGGGTCATGGTGACTTCTGGCGACCGCTACTGGGGGCTTGGACGTTTTTTAGAGAGGTGGCTTGAGTAGCCTGCCTCTGCATCCCACCTCTGGTATTCCTTGGATGTTGCCCCTCCAAGTACTTGCCAGGGTCAGCCCTGCTTAGCTTCTGAGATCTGACGAGATCAGGCTTGCCTGGGCTATGCAGGGCAGGGCAGGGTGCAATACATTCTTTTGAAGTATGCTGGTTATGTTGTCAAGCTCACCAATTCCATCCCTAAGTAGTGAGTCATGCCAGGCAAAGAAACTGGCTTCCATGTTGCTGCCCTTTCTCTTTATGATGACTGCTGATTTATCAGACAGCTGGGATAGATAGCCTTGGATAGCTGTTGGCTTAGACTAACCTGAGGAGTGTTCAGGGTGTCCGTCAGACAGGGGAGACCCTTCACCAGGGTGCCTGTGGTCCATGTGGGCATTCTTATAGTGGGCCTGGATAGCGGCAGCCCCACCAGCTTCTCCTTCAGCTTGGCCATCATTTTCACCCTGGGCGGCCTTGCCGTTTTTCCGCCGACGTGGCTGGTACTTGTAATCAGGGTGGTCCTTTTTGTGCTGCATCCGCAGCCGCTCGGCTTCTTCAATGAAGGGTCGCTTGTCACTTTCATTCAGCAGTCTGCCAGAGAGAGATTTGGGGCAGAAGGAGGAACAGGTTTCTTAAAACTAGGACCACAAAGTATTGCTCAAGGCCATGTTAATATATATAATATAATAATGAGGTCATCTCATATCAGCCTAGCAGGGAAACTTCTGGCCACAGCAGCAGTCAACCCACTTCAAGAAGTTTTGCAGTGGCTCAGCAAAGCTTTTTAGGCCGGTTTATGAGACTACCAGGCATGTGATCCTCTATCGTGTTCTTGGAGCCTAGACAGTGTTCTGCCGTCAGCTAATCAGCCATCTGACCCATTTGACATGAACAGAGTTTTATCTTTAAAACACCAGTGGCCAGCCATATAGCAAATGATTGTGTCCCTGTTGTCCCCCCTCCCCATGGAATTCTGTGGTAGTTTTTTCTCTACTGAGGTTTCAAGGAGTCGTGATGTGTTCTCTGGAGTTCTGCAGGGTTCTGTGGCATATTCTATGGCCATGTGGTATATTCTTTAATATGCTTTGCATAGCTTAGGGGCTGTATAATTTGGAATGTCCCTTTAATCAACCCAAATGTAACAGAAATCTTTAGGGGTTTTTCTGGCCTCAGTCTCGACTCTGTTTAACAGGCACGGCATTATAAGGCACTATTTAATAGATACTGTTTGGGGAGAGTTAATTAAAAGCATAGCACGGCCTTGTGAAACTCTGGATGAAAGGCACTATAGAAAAGTAAGGTAACTCCTGTAGTATTAACAGTTTTCTCTTCTTAGGACAGGATTCCTCTGCCCATCACGTTAGACAAGGGCTGCACAAAATCCCATAACTTTTCACTTTGGACTAGTTTGTTCTAGTTTTTGCTCTCTTATATTCTTTTTTTCACTATATGTCAGGGACTGCCAATTGGCAGCTCACGGGCCGAATCTCTGGCCCTGAAGGCTTTTTTAATTTGCCCCTTGGCAACGCTACGCAGTTTCAGTCAACTTTGTCTGTGTTTTCAAAAGTTGAAAGAGGTCATTGCACATTTAATACTATATGTCTCTGTAAGTCCCTTATGTAGTGCCTGGCCAACTCTGAGTGTACATGGCTGCACTTTCCTGGAAGTTAGCCCCATCGAATAACGTGACACTTACTTCTGAGTAGACCTAATTAGGATGGCGCTGTAAGTGTTATAAATTGTAACCGTAGACTATATTGTAATGAATAGTGGAATGTAATGTAATTCGGAATGGTAGATTGGAATGTATTTCTCTGGTCTGGGGACACAGGAGATAACTCTACATAGCCAATCGCCCCACCTCAAAGAAGAAGATGCTGTACTGTTGCCTCCATGCTTTAGGGGAGATGGATGGGGCGTGATAGCAGGATCTCAGTTAATTACACTCAGCATTCCACAGTTAAGAAGGGTACATCTGCCCATCAATCTCTGATTTAGATATATTTATTTCCTTCACTATGCCCCCCCCGAATTAAACCCAAACGAATGGTGACCATATAAACTAAATTTGTTATTCCTGTTTGGTCTTTGAATCTGTTAAACACCTTCATTATTTATTTATTTATTTATTTATTTTAATGTATACCCCGCCCTCCCCGCACGCGGGCTCAGGGCGGCTTACACAGGCACAAAAGTGCAATAAAAATACAACAAGTTAAAACAATTAAGGCACAAGTGCAGTAAAAGTCAACAGTTAAAACAGTTTAGGCAAAAATGCACATCTCACAGGATACATAATGACTATAATACTTACTCCCTATTGCATATCCCAATGGGGTCAAAAAAGGGGGGGGGGATGCCATGGGCCACGATATTTCAGCTGGCCAGTCAGCCCGACGCGGCGGAACTGCTCTGCAGTTGCACGGTGGTGGTAGTGGCGGCGGCGGCTCCTACTCAAAAGCCTGGCGGAAGAGCTCCATCTTGCAGATCCTGCGGAACTGTACCAGGCCCCGCAGGGTCCTGATCTCCTCCAGGAGCTCATTCTACCAAGTAGGAGCCGCCACTGAAAAGGACCTAGCCCTTGTGGCTGCAAGCCTGGCCTCCTTGGGGCCCGGGGTCACTAGAGGGTGTTGTGACCCCGACCAAAGTGCTCTTTGGGGCCTGTGTGGGGAAAGGTGGTCCCTCAGGTATGCCAAACCCTGGCCATGTAGGGCTTTAAAGGTAAGCACCAGCACTTTGAAGCAAATCCGGAACGCTATAGGCAGCCAGTGCAGCACTTTCAGCACAGGTTGGATGTGGTCCCATCTAGAGGCACCCGCTACCAACCTGGCCACTGCATTCTGCACCAGCTGCAGCCTCCGAATTTGCGACAAAGGCAGCCCCATGTAGAGAGCGTTACAGTAGTCTAACCTCGAGGTGACCGTCGCATGGATCACTGTGGTCAGACTGCCGCGGCTAAGGAAGGGGACCAACTGCCGCACCACTGCTGTATGCTAATTTACTGCTCATCCTCTACTTATATGTATGGACTGGTAACTTCCATTTCAATGTATCTGAAGAAGTGTGTGAGCAGACGAAAGCTTATACCTTTAATAAAACTTTTTTGGTCATAAGGGTGCCACTGGACTCAAACTTTGTTCAACTTGTAAAGCACTTCACTGTTAATTTTTTTCTAATGTTATTAAGTTTGACAGATCCATGAAGCAGGCCAGGTTGTAGGGGGAAATAACACACACAGATTTTGTCTGAAGAACTAGAGTGGTCTGTGAGCATATCGCTCCTCTATGATTCAGTGTGTTCTTTTGGGAGGCAGAAAAGACACGAGGGCTGTGGTAGGCTGCCTGTATTTTTCAGGGATGCCATCAAATTTTGCATTCCATCAATTTCAGGTTGAAAAATGTTCTCCTTTCTTGTGTGAATCAAAGTCCCTGGAACAATTTTTATTTAATTTTCATTTGTTTGAACCAATTCCCCCCCCCCCTAAATGTAGGTAATTTTACTTCATTTTGCAATGCTTTCATGCATGTAAATAGAGTTTGGAGTAAAAATGGCATAGAAAAAACTATTGAATCAAGAACACCAGCAACAAAGATGGGCCTACGACAACATATAAAAACAAAACAAAGTTCAAAAGAGCGCATATTGTTACATCCCTTGTATTACCGAGATTCCAGACAGTTCACATAATGCACAGCAAGCACACCAACTTGTCCAGATAGTAAGTTTTCATTTATTTATTTATTTTAGTTCTAGCTATCATTGTTGCAGAGGGTTCTTTTTTAAAAAAGGTGTCTCCTTCCCCCCCTGTTCTGTCCAGATGAAGTAGTAAGCATTTGGCCTGATAGAAAAGAGCTATTCCCACAGTAGCCTATGAAAGGGAAGGAACAGGACTTTTCCACTTCATTTTGCTTACCAATATAGCAATAAATTTGTCACCACTGATCAGAAACTGAGGCCTGATTCACATGCACTACCTGTGCAGAGGGCGATCTGGAATCTAAGGCCCACCCACCTACCCTTACAGATATTCTATTGTAGCCATGAAAGAAGATCTGTATGGTAAATCTATGTTTTGTGAAATGGCTTTCTATGCCTCCTCAGCAGTTTCCCACCTTGTCAAAGGCTGCGATCACACACACTAAATAATCCACTTTCAATCCATTTTCAATGCACTTTACAACTAGATTTTACTGTGTGAACTGGCAAAATCCAGTTGTAAAGTGCACTGAAAGTGGATTGAATGTGGATTATTTAGTGTGTGTGATCGCAGCCAAAGACAGCATGTGGTGGGGAAAAGAAGAGTTGTCGGTATGGCAAAAATTGTCAAAAGCATAGAGGGATCCACTTGTCTCAAAGTGGCTTCCTCCCCAAATGTGGGAGATGCTTCCACACAGTTGCATTTCAAGCTACCTGTACTGCTATTCACACCAGTTAAGAGATTTAGGAAGCCAAGGCAGGAGAAATATTACCTACGGCAGCAACACACAGACAGAAAAGTGCAGAGTAAATGAATCCAGAAGGTTATACTCAGCAATGTGTTAATAGTGGGGGCTCAGTCACTGATCCTGGGTATGAAAATTGGGGTTAGTGCAAGTGTGTCCCTATTTTTATCTGTGAAATGTTGAAGGGTATAATATGCTTATTGGAATGGGGAGAAGCAAAAAAAATTAAAGATAGTCTTTCTAACATGGAGTTGTAGCATGTGTTTATTCAGTTTTATTTGATGTGACACTTTATATCTCAAAAAGGCAACTACATTGAGGCACCAGTGACATGAACAATTAATTATATTTATTTGACTAATCGACAAATTATTTAAAGTGTAAATGCTTAATCAATTAAAAAATCCTGGTAACAGAGCATCTCTGATCATGTACAGGGTACCCTGCCCTTATGACTAAGAAACTGCAGCCTTTTCCCAAACAAATGTCTTCTACCCAAGACTGAACCCTACAACTGCTCTATCTTTGTGCCTAGAATCAAGCAGGAAAGCAAACCACAGCCATAAGGGCCTAGGTAGGTGAAGAGTCATTGCTATATCTTTTGCACTCTGTTCCAGGGCAGCTCAGTCTAAAACCTCTTGGGCTATATTATAATGACTAGAGCACTCTTCCTTCCCCAATAGATCTTTTTTCTTCCCTCGTCTTGCCTACCACGTCCAACCATTTATCTCAGAGAAAACTGAATTATAACCCCACACCCTAATTACAGAGATAAAACTTTCAGGATAACATTTAACTTGGGGAGATTACAGAAGTACCTTAAGCCAAGGAACTGATACTGCTTTTCTCTGGAGAGCACAGCTTCTCCGTGCCTTTCCACCAGAATGAACAGACATATTTGCCTCTGTGCCAAACTCTGAGTTACCTGTCAGTTTTACTCTTCCCCTGTGTTTCAGGGGGACTGTTCCCTCTAAGCTGAGTTAGTGTGAGCTAGCTCACAGTTTTTTTAGCTTCCAGCTCACACATTTTTCTCTTAGCTCAGGAAGGATGGCTCCAGAACAAACTAATTTATGCAGAAGCCAAATCGCTTGCTCACAACTTTAATGCCAGTAGCTCACAAAGTAGGATTTTTGCTCACAAGACTACACA